TGATGCTTCTGGCTCTCTAGGCTATGGAGCCGTGTTTCATTAGAATTGGTTTTACGGTCCGTGGCCCCCATCCCGGACCTCTAAGAATATTATTGTGCTAGAAATGTTTCTTATTGTTCTCAGTACAAAAATATGGGGTACTCAGCTGGTGAACAAATGCATAACCTTTCACATCGACAATCAAGCCTTGTTGCAAGTAATTAATAAAAAGACGACTAAAGATAGGGAGCTGTTTAGGTATTTTTTTTTAGGTATTTTATTTTTATTTGCCACACGATTACGATAATTACAAAAAGATGCCAAAAAGAAAAATGTAGGAAGAGATGGCGAGGAGGCCTAAAAGAAACTATAGAGCTTATGTTAATTAGGCCTCCTCAATTACAATTTTTCGAAGATAGTATAAAAATTACGGCGACAGATACAACATAATATGAGGTGAAAAATTAAACTTATCAATATTACGGAAGTTTACAAATGTTTAATATTAAAAGGCTTTTTCCCAAAATTTTTGTTGGAGTATACTAATAATTATTACAAATAAATGCCTTAAGTGCTCTTTTAAAGGAGAAAGGTGAGGAAGCGTTGATGATGTTGGTGTTTAAGGTGTTGTAAAATTTAGGTCCTTGATAAAAAACGGAAAATTGTTTGGTTCGAGTACGACAGAACGGCAGACGAAATTTACACGAGTTTCTTGTATTATACGAATGAATTTGACTTTGTAGGGTAAATTTACAATGAAATTTTAAAGGTAGAGTATGGTTTTGATAGGAGTACATGAATATGCCTAGTTGTATTAAGTATATATCATGAAATTTTAAGATACCAAGATTTTGAAAGATTGGATCAGTATGTGCATCGAAAGTTGTTTTAGCTATAGTTCTGATCACTCGTTTCTGTAAAATCTCAAGACGAATAAGGTTAGTTCTGTAAGTAGAGGCCCAAACTAAGTTGCAATAAAAAAGGTATGGATAGACTAGAGAAAAATATAGTGTTCGTAAGGTTTTCGTGGATAAATAGAAACTGGATTTACGAATAATTCCTGTGCATTTAGAAACTTTATTGGCGACATGTGAGATTTCAGATTTCCAATTTAAATTTTCATCCATGATTACTCCCAAGAAAACTGTTTCTTTTACTTGATCAATTTTTTGATTATTAATTAAAAGTTGAATAGTTTGATTTGTACGCTTTTGAGATGGTTTAAATACAATGAATTTGGTTTTTTTCAAGTTTAATGAAAGCCTGTTAGCTCTAAACCATATTGACAACTTATTTAGCTCAGCGTTCAGTATATTAGTAAGGCAGTCTTTATCCTTGTGAGACACAAATACGTTTGTATCATCAGCAAATAATATCAGTTGTAATATTGTTGACGTGTTGACTATATCGTTGATGTAGAGCAGAAAAAACAAAGGCCCTAGTATTGAACCTTGGGGAACGCCACACATGATATTAGCACGATACGAAACATAACCATTGTATTCTACAAATTGAAGTCTGTTGGAAAAATAGCTCTTAATCCATTTGAGAGCCAAGCCACGTATACCATAGTGTTGAAGTTTATCTGTTGGTTGGTTTACTCTGTTGGTTCTTCTTTGTGCTTAGGTTCTATCATGTTTGCAAAATAATATCTTATTTTAAGCTGTACACCTCACAGGCGTTCACAACACAAAAGCTGATGCCTTATCGCATTTACAGGTGACCAAATGCAAGTCCCTGTCCAAGGACGTAGCGCCAGAACCAACAGCTTTGCCTCCTCAACTGTTACCAGAGAACGGGCAGTTATCTTTTAGAGGCAAGCTGAAGTAACGCTTCTGTATCAGTTTAAAAACGACATTGGAAGTTATTTACAGATTGGTCGGCTTCTTATTTAGGTGATAGGCCTATTAATTTGCCTCTTCAACCGGCCATACTGGCCATTTTTATTGCGCATCTATACTCTAGGAGTTATTCTTCTTCGTCAGCAACCACTTACATTTCTGCTATTAGTTACATTCATAAACTTGCTGGTTGCTGATCCTACTGAGGCTCCACTTATTATACAAACTAACTCCCCTCAATGATGTCAGGTTACCTATTACTTTGCCAGTATTATGGATCTTAATTAGAGCTTTTGAGCGTTCCCTTTCATCACATTACCAGTCTCGTCTCATGTCTGCCATGTGTGCTTTAACATTTTCGCTTTTCTCTGCATTGCTGAGTTAACAGCCTCTCGAGGCAACACTTCCAATATCATTAATCTTTCGTAACTAGACCGACTGGTTGTTGCTCCGGGCCAAATTCAGGCACTGCAGCTTACTTTGCATAACTACAAGCATAAGAATTCTGGTCCACCTTTTGTTATTTTTATCTATCCTGAAAGGTCATGCTGTTCAGTTCAGTTGATCTTTAACTTTTTAGCTGTGTCGGTCGGTCTCTGGCCCTCTTTTTTGTTGGCCCGACGGAAGTTCGATTACTAGATCCTATTTAGTTGAGCGACTTAACGCAGCACTTACATTTTGTAACTTAGACACAAATGGAGCGCAGTTTTCGCATTGGCGCTGCCAGTTGGGGCTTCAGACTCACAAATTCGCTTGCTTTTCTTTGTTATATTAGAACTCCGAGTTTAGGAACAACTTTAGATACTGGTACTTGAAGACACAAATAGGCGTTGTGTTTTCGTCATCGTTTTTGCCAACAGCCTTCGGATGGGGCTGGGCTGCTTAGGAGCAACCCGTGGCCTTTTTCTTCTGGCCCCCACCTTTGCTAGACCTATAAATTCGTAAACATTATTTCATATTTTAACATTGATAAGATGATTTTGCAGTTTTCAATAAAACCAGCCATTAACTTGGCCATGTTTTTAATCCCAGAGCACAGTCTTGGTTTTCTTTGTTTCCTAAGTTAGACGCTCTAGCAAACGAAGCTCGGTTGTAGGCAGTAAAGGGGGGTTTATTGCTAGTGTTTTAGTAAACCAGGGAGGAGACATAAAATAAAATACTTAAGACTATGGGAAATTTTGTTGTTGCTAATCAAGCCGAAGAATTGACCATTAAAATCTTGCAAATTAAAGAATTCTCTTGTCGTGTACAGACAAGTGGCAAGCTGAACAGCTCAACCGAGCTTTTAGGAACACTCTATGTTTAAAGCATCCTAACTTTTTTATCTATTTTTTTTTTCTATCAACACCACCTGATTAAGATGATTATAAAAACATGTCTGAAGGAATTAAAGAAGAAGAGGGTAACATGTCTGAAGGTGAATCAAGCGAAACCAGTGAAGATGGGTACATTGAGCAGAGTTTCTAAGTGAAAGTATACTCAACAAAAGTATACTCAAAGTACGCAACTTTTGGTCACTTAAAAAGTATACTTGACACGATGGTCTGTAACCAAGGAGTTTTATCCCATTTGTGCAGGCTCATCTATTGACAGCGGTTTTCCCCCAGTACCTCCCTTGAAAAACACGTGAAAAATATGGCGGACCAAGTGGAGCGTGTGCATTTAGATTTAAGGGCTAAAAACGATAGATTGGAGCGAGATGACCTATTTTGGAACACCAGTACAGTGAAAACGAAGTTTTCCGTCGATAAAGTATGGATAAAGTCCGTGAGGAAGGCTAAAAACAAGCCAAACTATGGAATGGGGGAGATGGATTCTCTTCACGAGGAGGTGTGTGGAAATAAACTCGAACTTTCTGGTCCCCTCATCGATTCATATTTACAGAAATTAGGGGAAAGCTTGAAGCACGAGCAAACTCACTCAAAGGCAACGGGGCTCACCAATCCAACAACTCTTTTTATCCCTTGGATGGTATTCAGACACATCATGACTCTTGCCCGAGGATATCGCTGTGAAGCTGATGTATCAGGGAAAGGGAAGAAAGTGGAAATTTTGATTAAAAAGCAGGCCTCCGCCAGAAATGTATTTTATCCTTCTTGATTCTCTGGGCAAAACTATTTACACAAGAGGAAATTCCGAAAGCAAACGGACAGGAAATATCACTATGCTGGGCGATCTTCTGTAGTTGTTACAAAGAATACTCCCATTACACTACACTACAATATGACAACAAATCGTTTGACCTTTTCTGCTTTTATTCAGAGGTACACTGAGGAGAAGTGCTATTTACAATCAACTACCAAAAACTAGTGAACATTGAATAGGCCTGCATATTTTTTCTGCAAAAGAAATCTTGTTTATTTTGCTTGCATTAACTTATGAAGTAATATTGTTTTGGTTGTTTGTTCAAACTTTTTTATTTTACTTTGTTTTGTGGTATGGTAATGTATGGTAACGAGTTTTGCAAGAAAGGAAGATAAAAATCAAAGCAAGGACAAAATTGAACCACAATATGTATTTATCACTGGTTTATATCACTAATTCATTAGGCTTGTTATTTAAAATGAACAACAGTGGCCAATTAAACTCTTTGAAATTTGGTGACAAGGTAATAAAAGCTGATTATTCGTCAGAAAGTGACAGGGTGACAGGATTTTTTTAAGCAAATATTTCATGCTGCGCACCCTCGCTTTGAAAACATCTTTCACTGCAGTGAAGTATCAATAGGAGTTACTAGCGGTATCATTGTGTGTTCGAGTTTAAAAACTGTTTTATTTGAACAACAATTCATCAAGCTGTAGCTGGGCTTTAGCCAAGGGTGCACCATGTCAAGTCCCACAGACAGCTCAAGTTCAAGCTCGAGCAAATCAAATTCTAGTGAGACCTAACAGATTTCTCGTGCAAGTTCAATGCTCGAACGATCACCCAAAACAAGATTGCAAAAGAAAAGTCGTTCATGTTCCCGATCTAGTAGAACCTTCAAATCTTCTTCAAAAAAGCGATGGAAAGATTAATCAAGGTCTTCCAGGTCATTTTCCAGGTCAAGATCGCCGCGATCAAGGTCACTAGCAAGCGCAAGGAAAAGAAGAAAATCGCCCAGAGAACCAAGGGATTCCAGCGTGTGGCATAGTTCACGATCAGATTCACAAGATTGATCCACAAGATGGTGCCTTCCTGAAAATGACCCGAATGCCACAGCTGGCAGTTTTAAAATGTCTGATCAAACGCCTGCTGCGCAAGCCTACTCGAATCCAAGATTGGTGCCTACAATGTCAACCAACGTTGAGAAAGGTTAGTTGGTTTATGCTTACTAGACTGCGTGCAGTCAGCCTTTTCTCTTAAAATGAGACTGCTCACAGTCTAATGCTTACTATTCAGCATTGTCCGTTACCCACATTTTGACAGAGGGGGCCATGTAAAAACGCATGGGAAGAACCGTTTTAAGAACCTGGGTCGAGTTCCTGAACATTAAAGCTTTGAAATGTTCAATGGATTGAACTCAGCTTAGAGGTGTGTGCAGGGCAAAGGGCTGATTTCATGTCTTATTATTTACGCCAGATAAGTAATCTTGAAAGTCTAGTACTATGAGCTCATAAGCAGGTTTTGGGATGTTGCAGGTATTGAAAATTCATAAACGACTTTGAATGAGTCTACCTGGTATTTCAAGTAGATTGTAGCCTGATGTTTCAGTTGACTAGACTTTTAACTCGAATGAACAGGTGCTGAAGATCTAACCTGTAACATGCAAAAAGTACATTATTGACAGCTGCCTCTGCCTAAGCTTATGATGTTCAAGCTTACTTGCTCAACATTTCAGTGATCATTAACTGAGCTTAAATCTAGAATAGTTTTCATTCTTTCTGATTTTCACTGTTCTTTTAGCTTTCTAAGAGAGATCTAGAATTGATTGACCACAATTACCCATCTTGACCTATAATTAACCGTATGAAGTAGTATGAAATGGCTTTTTTTATGCAAGCCACACCTCCAGCTGCACTTTCAATGTGAAATTACAAGTTTATTTGTTTGTTAAACCTAGAGATTAAATTTGACAAGCAATAAATATGAACATTATATAAACAATCATTTTTGTGTTTCGTGATTATTTCCGCTTGAGACGTAGGTTAGTCATTTTAGAGATAGTATCTGTCAGAAATTCTTATTATTGGTCAATCTGTTACGCTCGGTTTTCCTTTAGCAAAGTATAATAGCCATTGTCTTATTTACTCGCCAGTTTTTTTCACATCAATCCAGCCTATGTAAGTTCTTTCCTTTTTTACCTTATAAAAAGTAATTTCAACTTTGCTGGTTATGCTGCCCTATCTCGGCTAAGACCACTTATCGGTCCAGGCAGCGGAACACTGGGCATCATTAAATCTCTGTAAATTGACGCAAACGGGGTATCGTAAAATCGCTGTAAATTGACGCAAACGGGGTACCGTAAAATCTCTGTAAATTGACGCAAACGGGGTACCGTAAAATCGCTGTAAATTGACGCAAACGGGGTACCGTAAAATCGCTGTAAATTGACGCAAACGGGGTATCGTAAAATCTCTGTAAATTGACGCAAACGGGGTATCGTAAAATCGCTGTAAATTGACGCAAACGGGGTACCGTAAAATCGCTGTAAATTGACGCAAACGGGGTACCGTAAAATCGCTGTAAATTGACGCAAACTGGGTATCGTAAAATCGCTGTAAATTGACGCAAACGGGGTATCGTAAAATCGCTGTAAATTGACGCAAACGGGGTATCGTAAAATCGCTGTAAATTGACGCAAACGGGGTATCGTAAAATCGCTGTAAATTGACGCAAACGGGGTATCGTAAACACAGGACGAAACGTGTTTCCGTATTTTGTAAACTTGACGGAAACGTGAAGTTGCTTAAATCCATCTCATTTCCACCCTGCAGAAACATGGTGATCTAGTTTTCCATGGCTGGGACGCATTTCCGTTATGTTTCCGAGTCGGAAACGAACAATCATGTTTGTGCAACATTTCTGTTATCACATTTCCGTTCTTTCTTGTTTCCATTACGTTTCAGGTGACCTTTTTTTTAAACCCATGTCCAATATCGCATGATAAATGTTTCAGAATTTTGCCTTTGCATACAATCAAGGTAAATAAAGGTAAATTTACTCTCGAGGTCAGGCTATTAAATGGTCAGGCTCATGCATTAAATACTCGCAAGCGTTGCATTGATGCAACGACTGTAGAGTGTGCGAGGTTGCCACTGTTTTCGATTCTTAGTGATTAAATTGGCAGAGAATACCAACAGCTGTCGATAGTTGCCAGATTGATCTCAATCGGTACTGCCATAAAAATAAAATGATCTTAGGCTGAGAAAACAAGAGAGAATGGGGAGAATGGGGCCTAGAATAGAGCGGAGTGCTGGTCAGCGGACGTTTTTTTTGCTTGTGGTCATTCTTTTTGGCGTCCATTTTGAAAGTGATTGCAACACCTTCGAATTTGCCAGCTTCTGTAGGTTCTAGGAGCATGGAGTCTATATTTTTGCTTTCCGATTGCACCACAAGACATCTAAGGGTTGTTATGTATATTTGCCGACCCATCGGCCTTCAGTAATCGATCGCTTCCCTCGTAAAGCGACCCTTTTCTGACACAGTTGAGCAGAATAAGAGACAAAAACCTCGTGATGGCCAAGAATAATTTGAAAGTTGGAGTGTTTGATTGTGCCAAGGATATCCAAGACTGAATATTGTAACAGAGAATACAGATAGCAAGACGAGGTAAGCTGCCCTGATACCAAATCTAAGGTTCTTTAACCACTGATCAATAACTACTAGTACTTAGCAACTTGAAAGAGCAGTGTGACGAAATTTGTCAAAACTACAGCAGTGGAAACCACCACCAATCTCAGTGAAACATAAAAAGACTGCTCAAAACATGAAAAGAAGCTTTAAGTAACAAAGCAAAAAGCAAGAGTGAGTACAAATAGAGATTTTTGTTAGTGTAAAAATGAGGAACAGATGGACAGACCTAGAGAAAATTGAAAAGGATGGCAATTGGTCCTTTTGATGCTTTTTAGCCTGACAGTTTTCCAGATTTCATTTTTGTGGTCTTCAATGTTTGATATAATGCTTGGGAGACATATTTGTCGACACAAAGCTGGATGATAAGTAATTTCTCAAGTTTCATGGTAAATGCGATATGGTCATGTGTACACAGACATGACATTTTTATATGAAGTTACTGCACATATTTTCCCTTCTATTAATTATTATTTAAGTGGAAAGGTGCTGGAGCTCTAAAAAGATGGGATAGCACCAGTGAGGAAGATGCAAAAATTAATATGGAAGTGGCTGATGAGATTGTGGACAATCCTGTTTTAACCAAGTGGTATGGAACATTTCCCATTGGAGAACACGGTGTGTTCACTATTAACAGAACAAAAGCCAAAATGCTGCTGGGGAGGAAACTATCACAGCAAAGAAAACCTTCCGCCTACAAGAGAAAGGTAAACATCTTCTACTCAGCTGCATCGAGGCATAATACGAAGCATTTTTTGATGATCCCTAGTTTAATATCTCTTGGTTACACTGTAGGCTGATTTGAAGGCAGTTCCTTCATTAAGAGATATACTGGTTAGAGCCAAACTGTAGTTAATCTCTTTAACACTACGTGTAGATAAATAATTACATTCATGCGACACGCTTGTGGGATCTGTGAATGGCCTGTCACTATTTATTTACCATGTTGATATTTTTGGACAAAGCCCCTTACTGCTTCGTGGGGAACTTTCTTTACAACCAGACTACCACAACACCTACTACAATATTCGAGCCTATACAAGCTCCTTCAGGGAAATACCAGTCAGCTCATGTAGGAACGTACTAACACTTCTCAATCAGAGAATGGAATATTGGCATGGCCATAAAATAGAACAACAAACATGTAAAGAAACGCAACCTACACCAGGAACAAAGCATCAGAGACTTTATTGGCCCATTAGAGAACGCTATTTTTGATCCAACACTCTGTTGGACACTGGTATAGAACTGTGAACATGCCTGAACAAACACCACTCAGTTACTCCAAATAGCAGCAACTGACGAGTTCCGCTATAGGAATGAAACCGGTCTTGCTTAAGAATCTCAGGGAAAAAACACCAAGTAAGAGAGAGAACTATGGTAAATAAATAGTGACAGGCCATTCACAGATCCCGCAAGCGTGTAACCTGAATGTAATTACTTATCTACACGTAGTGTTAAAGAGATTAACTACAGCTTGGCTCTAACCAGTATATCTCTTAATGAAATCGTGCACAAAATTGACCATTCGGAGGCCTTTGTCATTTGACTTTATAACAACTGCTGCATTGGTAAATTTCTTCATGGATTTACCGAAATTTTTTACCTGCTCAAAAGCATCCATAGGCACAAATGGGGGCGAAACAGAAAAGTCCTCTGAAAATTGAGTGTTTTCATCTGGTGCGAAAGTGTCTAAAATAGAACTACACGAGCTTGCTTGTTGGTCGATCAGCTCAGTCTGGACTGTCTCAATATTAAGGCTATTTAGCTTTTCAACCTTTGCTTTCGTGTAGCTTCTAACAGGATCAGGGTCGTAAACTTTCTCTCTATAGTAAGGAATCGCGCTGAATGCCTTAACCCTGCCCCAGAAAAGAAAGAAATCTCAAATTAAAAGCAGAAAAAAAAGATTTTACCCAAAACGAAATTCTTTTGACTAGCGTGGAAGGTTATATAACAGTGTTTATGTAACGCAGGTGCAGGATCTTACACTATAAAATTTGAACTATGATATAGCTTCTATATAGCGGAACAAGATACGGCTCGGTACAGTTTATGAGGGTGCAAATGGGGTTAACAGTTACTGATAATTAGCCAAAAAATAGTAGTTCACTGATATTCGGCCAAAAAAATAGTAGTTAAGGTGATTCGACCCAGTTATTTTTTCAGGGTACCATCATACTTTGAAGCTCTCTGGTATCCCCACCTTTACTTTGATCGTAAGTCTAACATATAGCATGGATAACATATAGATCAATCTAAAATATAGCATAAAATTTTTTGGCGATCGGAGTAAATGTCAGGTGGTTATAGATATTTGATGACGTTTGTCAGCGTTTAAGAGTTCTTCTCACGAAAAACGCATTTTCTTAAAAATTCGTAGCTTTTTTTCCTTCAAATTTTTTCAGGGCCACAATTGATTAACTAACTACCCGGATTCTGAATTTTATGGTCATTAAAAAACTGTGACATTATCTTCTATAAGCCCAACCTTGAGTAAACATTGAAGATTTTTAGCGTTTTGCCTGAGTTTGTGTTTTGGGAGTTTTCCAGTGTTTCTAGTCTGTCATGATACAGCATTCTTGTTCAGCACGCATGCAATCACCGCGCTTGCTGACTTGCGAATGCTCACTGGGATATGATAATTTTGGTACGGTGAAAACAGAAGGGATTCCTGTGATGTAACGTCTAGACATGAACACCCTCAGCGCTTTGTATACTGCAGGTGGTACAAGGGCTTTGCTAACAATTTTAGCATTACCTCTAAGCAAGACAAGCAAGAAAGATTCTAGAGCGAAACCAAGAGTCACAATAAACTGACGGTGCTTATAAGTGTAGTTAATTTTTCCACTACCAGATAAAAAGATAAGTAATGAATTGGTTTAATTAATGGCTTTCATTAAACCTACGTAAAAATGATATTTTTTTAATAGCAAGAAGATTTAGTGTGTAGCATTTCTTGATTTTTTTGCAAAGGCACAACAAGCACGAAAATTGATAAAAAATCGTGAGTTTAACCTCTATATATCATGAGAAATCCTCGTTAGAGCAAAACTATAAGGTCAAGTATCACACTATCACGAGCTTATGAGTCATGTTTGGCCTGTCAACACCTTCCACCTATAACTATTGATATTTTTAGACAGCACTCTGTCATAACTTGTGGGAAGAAACCTCATCAACAGAAATGTACTCGGGTGATTTTGAGAAGTATACGAGAAAATACTCCTAATCTATGGGGAAGGTTTCTCTCAAACTCTCTCAGACACTAGGAAACGCTAGGGACTTTGAATGTTAACATCATATTATCCACTCCCCTCAGGGCTTTTCAGGGATAATTAACAACACTGGTTGGGGGACTTTGCCAGACTGCTTAAGGTGCAGTTTACAAGCAATGAAGGAATGAGTAGCGATGCCCCCATACATGAGTGTGAAAGTGAGATAGACCACTACACCGGGCACTACGTGCCCTACTCTTTACGAAGAGTGTGTGGGTTCTTTAACGTCCCACTGATTTTTTATTACATGTGCAAGGGCTTGTGAGACGGGGCCTATGGTTTATCGTCCTTATGCGAGAAGACTAGAAAGTCAAACCGTTTGGAGATGTTATTACAAAGGCAGCACTTTCTCCTCAGTTATTTAAAGACCCTGAATGTTGGTCTGGCCAGGGTTTGAACCTACGGCCTCCCGCTCAGCAGACCCTTTGCATCACTACTATCCAGTGAGATACTATCACTCCCGTTCCCCAAAAACTAGCTTTTTTGACCTTAAAGATGACACAAAACAATGCGGATCAAAGCTACAATTACGCTGTTGGTTACTTTTCCACCAGCCAATGGCAAGCCAGCATTTTCGACCCTAGCCACCAGTATTTGTAAAGCCATTTTCACTCTACACACCCAAGACTTTACCATAGCAGCAACTGACGAGGAATGCTGTAGTTCCGAAACTGCAGTCTTGCTTAAGAAACCACTTGTTAGAACCTTACTATGAGTGAAAACTTAGAGAAAAACCTGCAAGAGATGTTTGACGGTAAACGTCTCAGTAGACGATGAACAATTGAACTCCATAGCAGAGGATGACTCTCTGTTAGAGTCAAACGGCGATAAAGTGAGCGGCCAACGTAGTCCACCACCAGAGCGTCATAACCAAAAGCGAAGACATGACAACCAGAACACACGCAGCCGCCAGCAACAAAGCAGAGCAAGCGGAGCCAGCAAAGGATAACAGCCTGCCAACGAAACCACATTCCAAGCAAGGAGGAGTTCCCAAAAGAAACCCTTTTAGACAACGTCCACGCCGCACCGCCTCGGATTGTGATGACATCTCTCGCATGAAAGACAAAATAGAGAGCTCCGAACAATCAGTCATTAAACTGAAAAGACAAATGGAAAACAGCACTTGGCCGCCAGACTTGAATTACGATGCAAAAGCGAACATTTTTCCACACGAGGACTTTAATTCTGACATTAAAGCCATCCAAAAGGAGGCTGAGCAGAAATTTCTAGGAGCGCTCATTAAGTTTCACAACTGTCGCATCGACCGCAACCAGGCACAATTGCGAAAAGCCAAATCTTGTAATAAGAATACATCAGTTAAAGGACGCAAAAGTCAATCTGAATCATGCAACATTCCAGAAAGTTTAAAAGCAATAACAGCTAACCTAGAGAAACGTCTTGAAGAAGTAAATGCAACGTTGTACGACCTTAAAGAGGCAAACAATAAAACAGTTGAAACTTACACTCATGTGGTCTCTGAGTCAGGGTCTAGTAATAAGGACTACGGCATTAGAAAGCGCAAATCTAAGAACAAAAAACACCCAGAAAGACAAAAGAAAACCCACAAAGATATTAGAGCTATGAAAACAGAATCCACAATCTGGGAACCACCAGTTCAGCAGTCTGTTACCCTAGAGAGCTATCTAGAAAAAATTAAAATACAACTTGCGCACACACAGATAACCAAAGCTATACCCAACCTATCGCTAAATGAGAGAAAAGCTATCCCAGAGCTAAAAACAACTCTGAAAATAACGTCAAGAAAGCGGATAAAGGTACTACCACAGTCATAATGAACAAACTAGATAAAACACAAGAGGGGCAGACCCTATTAGACTGTGGAAATAACTACACAAACCTCCAAGACCCCATGGCAGGGGCTACTTTCCAAAAAGTGAAACAAATAGTCGAAGAACTACATTAGGGAAGTTTTATTGACGAAATGACAGTTAAATGGTTATCACAGACACCTAACCCACCCAGAATACCTGTCTTCTACACTCTCACAGAGATTCATAAGCCAACCCCTGTTGGCTGTCCTATAGTGGCAGAAAACGATGGACCCACCGAATGAATATCATCATTCGTTGATAGCCTACTTCAGCCTATAGCTAAGTCACAAAAGTCCTATCTTAAGGACACAATTAGCTTTGTTCACTTCATAGAAAGGAGAAACCTCCCAGAGGACGTTTTCCTGGTCTCTTTAGACGTTGCTAGCCTGTACATAAATTTCCCACAGGAAGAGGGAATAAACACAGTATGCAAAGCATACCAGAGTTTCTACGGGGAAAACACCCCTATCCCCACCCAATCCCTCAGAAGAATCCTTAAACTACTTCTTAAAGAGAACTCATTTGAATTCAATGGCAAAACTATCTCCAAACACACGGAACCTTAATGGGTACAAAGATGGCAGTCGCCTTTGCCAACATCTTTATGTCGGCCGTAGACATAAAATACTAAACCTCAGCAAAACTAAACCCCTTGAGTGGAAAAGATACATTGACGATATTTTCCCATTGTGGAGAACTGAGAGAAAGGAGATAGATGAATTCATTGCTCTTGCAAACAGGCATCACCCTTCAATTAATTTTACAGCTAAAATATCTGATAAAGAGATTAAGAGAAATCACTTTTTGTAACCGATGTTGCAGCTGGCACTATTAAGCTCGTAACTGGCCTTTCTGAAGCTTTGTGGATCCTGAAAACCCTTGGTTGCCTTTATGACACTTTTGAAATTCACGAAAAAGGAAAGCCTGGAAAAGAGGTAACATTGAGGGAGGCGAAGGAGAACGTTGACAGTCTCTGTAGTGAGGTACAGAGAACAGTAGCTAGCGTGAAGGAGGGGTTCAATTTATCAAGGGATACAAATGGTCCAGGGGGTACAATTTCCAAGAAAAGCCAAGATTCTCTCACCCTGCTACGTAAAGGGATTAACAGGCTGACGGAAAATATCACTTCCATAAATCCTTTATTTGTTGGCATAGTTGAGCTTTTAACACTTTTGACAACGCACGTGGAACACCTACACGCGGTTTCCAACTTCAAAGACGAAACATTCAGTGCTTTGAACTACGCGCAAGACTTTGGAGCCATGGTGAAAGAGTCGCTTAAAAGAATTACTAAGTGGGCTGCAAAGTATTGCACTCATGAAAGGTCTTATTATCTCGTGCCTGATACTTCCCTGCCTTTGTCAGCACTCTCCACAATGTTTCTCCCAGCTGTGGTGCAATCTGTCACAAAAGAGGATGAAGTTGTGATGAGGGACTGGTTTGAGAACTTTCGACCTGTGCGACAGGTGCGACATGAGATTTGATTTTGAAATTTAATAACTCTGCATTGGAAGGGCTACGAATTTTTTAAACGCCGCGGCGTTTAATCGAATTAATACGTTGGGAGCTGGGAATGAGGGATTTTAAAAAGAAACAAAGGAGCATGGGAAACCATTGAAAGTTATAGGCGCCATCTTGGTTGAAACGCATACATCAAGATCAAGAGGTACGTGTGTAGGTTCAACTTTTTTTTAACATTTATTCAAAAATTTCTAGTCTTGCAAAAGGGGTGCCATTACGTCCAGAATTTCATTTAATTTGACATTTTGGAGTATACTGGCAAATCTACAGGGCCGTAGCAATCCTTTCACTATATCGAAAACTTCATCAAGTAAAAACATATGAGTAGAAAACAAATTTTTGATATAAATGAGGTTTTTTGCGAATACTTCTTCTCAATGTTGAGGGACAAAATACCTGTTGTTTTAAATACCACCCGGTAACTGGGCTGATGGGTATGTAACTTCGTCCTGGGCGAGTACTACCATATATGGGCTATATAGGTATGTGCCGCTGTGAAGGGTATGGTTTTCAAGCAGTTTACTCTAGGATAGGGTGTATAAATCAGAGCGTTTGGTTCTAGAATAAGGTTATCATTTTTCAGGAAACTGATCAGTTGATTGAAGATTTTATCTAGACTAGGGATTGTGGTATAAGGTTTTGTTTTGGCTAGACTGTGCTAGTGACCTCAGTAGTTTCTGGAAAACAGCTACTCTAGGAAAGGGGGGATTTGGGGAGTATACTCTAGAATAGGGTAGCAAAATTCAGCTGAGCTAGCTCTGGTATAGGTTAAGGGTCCCAGCTGCACATCCCCACCCAGAAAATCCTAAAGTACCCCCACCCCCTAGGGACTTCGTTCTTGTAAGGGAATCTCGAATAAAGGAAAATTTTACTAGTGGAATCCAGAGTCTAGGAATGTTTTGTTGATGGAATTTGGATTTTGGGCTTTGAAGTCCAAAATACACTTCTAGGAATCGGGAACCCCACAAATGGTTGAAATCTATATGCAAGTTCCACTGACAAAGAATCCAGAGTCCATTTCCTGGAATCTGGAATCCAAGACTGTCTGGGATTCCCTTACATGGTGCAAGAAGTTCATTAAAATGACCACTGGGCATTTTCCAAGATGGCAGACCACCCATCGCTCATTCTCAGGTCCTCCCCACTCTCCAAGATGGCCTGTGAGACAACTTTTCCACCCTGGGGGAATTTCTTTGGCTCTTTTTCCGTTGTGAGCGTTTTATTCAAGGATTTAAGGTGGCTTATTTTCAGTTTTCAGATGAAAACTATTGACTTTTTAAAAGTTGAAAATTTCTATCAACCACAGGCCTCTATGGCCCTCTACTGAACTATTAATCACTGCAATTGATGTAAATTATCATTTTACCTTTTAAAAACATTTTATTGCCAAGTTTAACGAGAAATATAGTGACCGAGAACCCACAAAGGGGAGTGGAAACTAGACCTGTAAGGTCTTTTTCCTTAAAAACTAGCGAACTGTAAGGAGCGAAACAACCAAAGATGAAGCAGGATCTCTACCACCAGTTGTGTACTCTCAGTCAAAACAAAAGGAACACTCCTATGTAGAGTTTAATAAGGAGCCAACACCACCGGACAACACACCCATGCCTGCTCCTATCACTGAGACCACTGAACAGTCTGGGCAGCCTGAACATTCTCCTGCCAATGATGAGCTGCCAGAAGTCAGTTTAACTTTCGTTAGTCCCCAAAGTACAGGTACAAGACATACAGCACCTAGATGAATACATTATAAAGTAATGTCATTCTGCCAGGAAATTTGTCTATTTTGTGTAATATGGTAGTAACAAATAATTTTCTTCAATATCTAAGCAAAACAAACCGAAAATCGTTCGAAAATATAGAGCGGCTTGGAATTTTCTACAAATTTATTTTGTGACGCTATCAGATTATGCTAATTAGTTTATCCTAATTAGCATAATGACATTCTATACTTTGGTGTCCCTCAAGATGAAGTGTTCGACGTTTTTTCTTCTTAAGGTTTCCATCGAAATATCGAGTTAAAGACAAGCAAACATGAATTTGCTGATATAATTCATCAAAATAAGCAAGGATTTGCAGGCAAAAAGTTAAGCGAAGGCAGAGCGAGAAGGAATAACAACATGTGCTGCAGACTTAGACGAATCGGCGATCGGCACGCAAGATTCAAACTGTTTTCGTACCTCGATTTTCGAGTTTGTTTTGCTTGTTATCCTCCAGAATCCTTCAAATAATTTGCTTGACTTGTATTTGGTTGAAATTCATCGACACAAGCTTTCATTCGTCGCAAAAGAAGTCACAAACACATCGCACATAGCCACACCATTTTCTCAGATTCTGAAAAATCGTTGCGTGAAGCTCAAAGCTCCCTGGAGGTTGGAACTACGCACATAATTGGCTAAATCTATAAACTTCCCGTGGGCCAAATTTGGAGGCAATTGAAAGTAACGCAATTTTTTACGATTTTTTCTCGTCATCAGGAGAATTTTACCGAAATTTAAAGGGCCCGAAGAAAATGAGGTATTACTCCTTCAGTTAGACAATTTTTTTATTTTCTTTACTATTCTTCTGTCATCTATAAATCACGCTAGTGGTGTAGTTTATGTGAATTCGTTTAAATTATACTTTGATTTCAGTAGGGTCCACTCCAAAAGTGGGGGGGGGGGGCCGGATGTTTTGGGTTTGGTTTATACTGCAGTATTATAACCTCTTAAAAAAATAAAAATTTTTATTTAAATAAAATTGATATTTAAATAAAAATTGACAAAAAAAAAAAAATTAAATTAGTTTTTTCTCCTTAGTTTAAGTATTTTTTTTTTTTTTTTTTTTTTTTTTCGTTTATTCAAAAATCCTCTTGTTGGTGTATTTTTGTGGAATTGGTTAAAATTATGGTTTAATTTGAGGGGGGGCCCCTCAAAAAGGGGGGGGGGGGGGGCACGATGTGTTGGGATTGGATTATACTGCAGTAATATACACTACTAAAAAAATTAAAATTATTATCTAACTAAAATTAGTAGTTAACTGAGAATTGGCCAAAAAAATAGTATTCAACTGAGAATTAGCCAAAAAATTAGCAGTTAACCGATAACTGGGTAGCCCCATTAGAACCCTTGTTTATGTTCAGAAGGGGAAAATTGCGTATTTAAAATGTATAACAGATTATTTATTCACTTTGTGCGTATTCCTGTTGAATCTGTAGCCCGTTTAAGAGATATGTTTACTCAAAAATATAATATACAGGAATATACGTGAGGAAGGTGATTGGTCAAAGTTCTGGGCCGAGGAGGACAGATTTGTTTTGGAAGGATTATCTCCAGACAATGAGAATCGTAAATTAAACCTAAAATGGTTCACGGAGACACATTCTGGAATTTACAACCTGTCAAGACTGGACGAAAAAACCGATTTGCCTAAGTTTGCTAGTTAAGCAAATTTGTTGTAAATTTAGAGTACTAATGTTGCTACTCATTTGTTCTTGATGCAAATTTTGTTCAAAAGTGACAGTTTACTATTCTGTAAGGGTGGCGTAAATATCAAGTTTACCCAGATTTTGTTTCACTTTTGCTCCTAATAGTAAATTTGGTGTTTAGATTCAAATTTGCCGCTATTTTCTTCTCTATGTAAAAATCAAACGTCAAAAATGAATGTTTGCTTGATATTTGTCTGGTTACTAGAGTTGTAAATTTAAGAAAAAAATGATCAAAGAATTATCTTCATAACCACTTTAACCAACGTTTGCACATTGACCAAACTTGCAATTTCATGCAAGGTTTGCTTTATGATTGCCCGTTTGTTTAATCACCATCAGTCTTCTGAAAGTTTATCAGTACTTTTATTTGCTGCAGCTAGTTATTTTGGGCAAGATCCTCTAATCCCTTGTAGTTGGTTTCTCATTCAGGAAGCAGGCCGTTTGAGGATCAGTTATCTTGTAGAGATTTGTAACCCATTTGTAACTGCTTATTTAACTCCCACGCGGCTGTAGTGTTTGCTTTGTCAAAATTCCTGCACCCATATTTCCGAGGCCGCAGCTGATTTCAGCAGTTTTCTC